TTTTTACTATTGTTTTTAGTTTAGTTTTTTCATAATGAAAATTAATTAATTATTAGTTTGTATCTGCACACACACACACACACACACACACAATTACTACTCTAATGCACAGAAAAACTAATTTTGCTTTGTTATATGTATATTTATAATGACATGACATTTAAAATTTATATTTAAATAATAAATTAAAAAAAAAAAAAGAATTAAATAATTTTTTACTTAGATAACCGGGGTGTAGAATGTCAAACCCTCATGCAGTACCTCACAGAAAATCCTCAAACTGTTTTTTTAAATGTTGATTCTACTTATTGCTTCTCTTCTAAAAATTTTCACTGGTTTAATTCTATTGCCCAAGTTCCCTTATCCCAGGTATGGAAAACAAAAAAAAAAAAAAAAAACTTTGAAAAAATTGTATGGATTAAACATTTAACTATTTCAAATAATAAAAACATTTTTAACATTTTAGGTACTCATTTTAAGAAATATACAAGAGAGTTGCACGAAAGGTTGTACCTGTCGATCGTACAGGTTAGATATGGTATCGGGTAAACATCCAACAGTGTCAGTTCTTGTCGATTGTTCTTCATTGGGTTTGAAAAAACTACCAGAATATTTACCAAAAAATACTATTTCGTTAAATGTATCTTATAATAACGTGAGTAAAAAAGAGTCATAATTCAAATTCAAATTAATTTACTTATTACTACGTTATTATATCCGCCATTTTTGTTTTTAGATAACGAGTTTGGATCCTTTAACTTTTGATGAAAATTATAAAGACATCAGAGAATTTTATGCCGATTATAATCAAATTTCATCAATTTTAGCTTTAGAGGGATCAAAATTTATTGATAATTTCCTAGTCCTTAGTTTACGAGAAAATAATATTAAATCTGTAAGTGGTGAATAATAATGAACAATACAAAGTTTAAAAACGACATTAGATAAAACTAATCATTTTTTTTTATTATTCTATGACTTTGAACTTAAGTTTGAAATGGATAATGGTTAACGTTTTCATTTGATTTTGTTTTTTTTTTTTGTAGTTGCCAACATATATATTGTCAAATACTTTTGATAGAAATTATCATATTCGTCGTGTTAATTTAGGAGGAAACAGACTGGTGTGTAATTGTAGTGTGGCTCAAGTTGTTAAAGTTTGGCTCTTGAGTAATAAAAAACATATACCTGATTATGATCAATTACTATGTGATAATACTGGAGAAAGAGTATGTAATCTGACATTAGTTTACTTATTTAAATTCTTTCTGTCAATTGTTTTGTAATTTAACAAACAAAATGGGTATATTATAGGTAATGGCGTTAGACCAGAATAAAGCATGCATGTATCAAAGAGACTGGACAGATTATATATATTATATGATTGCTGGAGAAATTGGACTTTTGCTTCTTTTGGTCGGAAAGGTGTCCTACGATTATTGGGTTTTTAAAACTACTGGTTACCTTCCTTGGCCTGCATCTAAAATGCCAAAATTACCATGTGATTGGGTTTTAGAATAATCTCTCATTAGTTTTTACAAATAAATTTTTTTTATTTTTATGTTTTTATTAATTTTTTTTTATAAAACATGACGATTATAAATTTATATTTAAATAAACGCTTTTTAAAAAAAATGATATTCAAATTTTATTGATTTTTTTTCCTGTTAATTTAAATTACATCCAGTAGATGTCACTTTGCATTATCTATACAACACAACCGTATACGACACAAATTATGTATTATTTAATTTAAAACTTAAAAAAACTTTTATTTTAAAAAAAAAAAAAGGGGATAAATATTATTAAAAAAAGAAAAACAATTTACAAATATACGGAAAACGCATAAACACAAACTCACGAAACGTTCTAATCCAAAATCATAATTCAAAATAATTTTCCCGCGCAATTTTATGGTAGCCGTAAAAAGAAAAAAAAAACTCGTTTTAAAATTTCAAAAACGTCATCACAGTTATTAAGTAAATATAAATTATACATAAAGAAACTAAAAAAGATATTCTTGACTTACCTTAAGTCAAATAATTTACGATAAAATACCTAACGTATTAGATAATTTTTTTTTAACTTTAGTTATGTAACTTATCAGGGCTCAACCCAAAAAGATTAATAATAATAATAATAATAATAATAAAACTTTCATTTCAAGCATATATTTTATTTTTTCGCGTCGTGGATTTATCACTTCATTTTTATTTCAGGTATTTTATAAATTTTAATAAAATAATATTTAATTTTTAATTCACTTTTAAAAATGTACGACATTATTTTTTTTTGTTTTTTATTTTAACAAGGTAAAATGACAATAACACTCTATCATTTTCCGCCAAGTGCTCCATCCAGAGCAGCCTTACTGACTCTTAGAGTACTAAATCTTGATTTTAATATTGTAGAAATAAATCTTTTCAAAAAAGAACAACTTCAACCGTCA